TTTTTTTTTTTTTTTTTTTTTTTTTTTTTTTTTTTTTTTTTTTTTTTTTTTTTACTTTCTATTATATATCATAAACATCCATGCCTTCCTTCTAGATCTGTTCATAAATCTTGGATTTGTTATTAATGTTTAGAATCTATTGAATATAAAAATTAAAATTCATAAATCTATTAAAATTTCTTTAAAATTCACCAACCTAATTTTTTAAAAATATACCTAGTAAAAAGATTCAATTTATGTCTCTTATATCAACTTTCACCTCGATTTTCAATTGTATCGTGACTTGGTTGAATGTTACAATTTTTATTGTCTATCAAATTTCTACTAATTTACCTTGTTAGATAAACACGACTCTCCACCCACAATAGTATGATATTGTCTCTTTGAGAGTAAGCTCTCATGGCTTCGCTTTGGGGTTCTCAAGAGGTCTCGCACGAACGTAGAGAATATTCTTTGATTATAAACTCACGATCATTCCTAACTCTGTCATTAAATAATTTTGTCAAGAACTAATAAATTTTAACAATAAAAAAGTCTAAATGTCGCTTCATTTTAAATTTACATGCAAATATATTTTTGAATAAAATGTTCAAACATAATAAAATCATTCACTTGATAAAATTTAAAACTTTAGTATAAAAATGACATAAATCCACAAATTTAGATGTAAAAATACAATTTCCACGCAAAAAAAAAAAAAAAAAAAACAATCAATTGCTGTAAGAAAAGAGATAATCTATAAAATAACTAAAAAAACAATACGCTGAAATAATTGCATTAAATCTTTATCGGAAAAACATCCCACAAAGAAAACAGCCTTACGAAGAATGAAAACGTGAAGAAGAAGAAGAGCAATATATATATATATATATATATAGAGATTTTTTGGGAACTAGAGCAGAAGGCTGTGAAATGAAGTTGGGGAATGATGGTTTAATGGCTGCCCTGAAAGCAATGCAGCTCATTTCTCCAGGTTAACAAAACCCCTACTTTTCTTTCAATTTCAACCCACTCACCAGAATCACTGCGTCTAAAAGCTTCTTGTAATTCGTGCCCTTCCTCTTTTTTTAAAGCTATAATTTGAACTAAAATACAGTTTTCCTTTTCCAACTTCCCCCCACCTCTCCTGGTTGTGAATAAAAAATTTCAAAGGAAACGCCAACCAAAAATGCCATCTCCCTCTGCAATGGACCATCATGGCCTAGCTGTTCTTCTTGGATCCCAGAATTTCCGGGCATTTTTTCTTTTCTTTATTATAGACTCCTAATTTAAACACGTCGTAGACCGCAAGACATGATTTGGCTTCTCTTGTTTTTGGCACTCCCTAGGCTCAAACCCTCTTTTTTTCTCTCTCCCTCCTTGGAGTTTGTAGTTTAGTTGTAATGCCTGTAAATTCATGGACCATCTCTTCATTTATCCTAATCCTATGCTTTTGTACTGTTTCCGCCATTAATGAACAGGGCCAAGCTCTGCTCTCTTGGAAGCTAAGTTTCAAGGGATCCAACAGGGTGCTAAGTAATTGGGACCCTAACAATGAAACTCCATGTGGGTGGTTTGGAATCACTTGCAACAAGAACAGACAAGTAGTGGAAGTAGTTCTGAGGAATGTGAACTTACCCGGTGAGCTTCCATGGAATTTCTCTTCGTTCTTGTCGTTGAACAAGCTCGTCTTGTCGGGAGCCAATCTCACCGGCTCTATTCCTAAACAGATCGGTGCTCTCAGCCAGTTGAGGACCTTGGAACTCAGTGACAATGGATTGACTGGAGAAATTCCTAGTGAAATATGCGCTTTGATGAATCTTGAACAGCTTTACCTTAATTCGAATGGTCTTGAAGGATCAATCCCTGCAGGGATCGGGAATCTCACGAACTTGAAGGAGCTGATTCTCTATGATAATCAATTGAGCGGTGAAATTCCGGTTAGTATAGGGAATTTGAGGCGGATTGAAGTGATTAGAGCTGGGGGGAACAAGAACTTACTTGGCTCTGTACCGGAAGAAATTGGTAACTGCAGCAATTTGGTGATTCTTGGGCTAGCTGAAACCAGCATCTCCGGCTTTCTTCCGGCCAGTCTTGGCTTTCTCAAGAAGCTTCAGACGTTGGCAATCTATACTACTCTTCTCTCCGGTCAGATTCCTGATGAACTTGGCGACTGCACTGAGCTTCAAAATCTCTATCTCTACCAGAACTCGCTCTCTGGTTCGATTCCGATCTCATTGGGAAGGTTACGGAATCTTCAAAGTCTGCTTCTATGGCAAAACAATTTGGTCGGCGTTATACCGCCGGAGTTAGGTAGGTGCGACCAGCTAACAGTCATCGACGTTTCGATTAATTCTCTGACGGGAAGAATTCCTTCAACATTTGAGAATTTAACAATGCTTGAAGAATTGCTGTTGAGTTCAAATCAATTAACAGGTGAGATTCCGAAGGAAATCGCGAAATGTTCGAGAATCACTCACATTGAGCTTGATTATAATCAGCTAACTGGTACGATTCCCTCTGAATTGGGGAATCTCGCCAATTTGACATTGCTGTTCTTGTGGCAAAACAAGCTCGAGGGAAGTATTCCATCCACCATTTCCAATTGTCGCAATCTCGAGGCCTTGGATCTATCACTGAATGCCTTGACTGGTTCAATTCCGACGGGAATATTTCAGTTGAAGAAGCTTTCCAAGCTGTTGCTCCTCTCCAATAATCTCTCCGGCGGGATCCCGCCGGTGATTGGTAACTGCTCGTCTCTATCTCGGTTCCGAGCGAATAACAACAAGCTCGCGGGGGAAATTCCGCCGGAGATTGGGAATTTGAAGAACTTGATTTTCTTGGACCTCGGAAACAATCGCCTCACTGGAGCGTTGCCTCCGGAGATTTCTGGATGCCGGAATTTGACATTCATTGATTTGCATTCTAATTCTTTAACGAAATTTCTTCCAGAAGAACTCAACCAGCTTTCTTTGCTCCAGTTCGTTGATCTTTCAAATAACCTAATCGAAGGGGCGCCGATTCCGAGTTTTGGATCTTTCAACTCGCTCACGAAACTCGTTCTCTCAAACAACCGCTTCTCGGGGCCTATTCCGACGGAAATCGGTTTCTGCTTGAAATTACAGTTACTGGATTTAAGTTGCAATCAACTCTCCGGGAACATTCCACCGAGCTTAGGCAAGATTCCTTCCCTCGAAATCGGTCTCAATCTGAGCTTAAACCAACTAACCGGCAAGATTCCGCTGGAGTTTGCAAATCTAGACATGCTCGGGTCATTGGACCTCTCTTACAATCAACTCTCAGGCGACCTCCACATTCTCGCAGAACTGCAAAATCTCGTGGTTCTCAATGTATCTCACAACAATTTCTCAGGACGCGTACCTGAGACGCCATTCTTCGCGCAGCTCCCTTTGAGCGTTCTCTCCGGGAACCCGGAGTTATGCTTCGCCGGCGAGAAGTGCTACGCCGATGGCCATGGCAGCGGCGCTCCCCACACGCTAGCGGCTCGAGTGGCCATGATTGTATTGCTGTGCACGGCATGCGTAATGCTACTAGCGGCAGTTTATATCGTTCTCAAAGATAGACATTCATGTCGGGGATACTTCAGTGGGTCCCGCGGCGAAGATTCAGACGACGCCTTTGACAGCGACTTGGAGCTTGGCTCTGGCTGGGAAGTGACACTATACCAGAAGCTCGATCTTCCGATCTCCGAGGTAATCAAATGCTTAACGCCGGCTAATGTCATCGGCCGCGGCAAGACCGGCGTCGTGTACAGAGCCTGCATCTCATCAGGTCTAACAATCGCTGTGAAGCGATTCCGATCATCGGAAGTGTTCTCAGCGGCGGCGTTTTCATCCGAAATCGCAACATTGGCGAGGATCCGACATCGGAACATCGTCCGATTGCTAGGGTGGGGGGCGAATCGGAGGACGAAATTGTTGTTCTACGACTACTTGCCGAATGGGAATTTGGGTGCGTTGCTACACGAGGGGAATGGGCGCGTGGGGCTGGACTGGGAGAGTAGATTTAAGATAGCGTTGGGTGTGGCGGAGGGATTGGCTTATTTGCACCACGACTGCGTGCCGGCAATATTGCACCGTGACGTGAAGGCTCACAATATTCTGTTGGGGGATTGCTACGAAGCGTGTTTGGCAGACTTTGGGCTCGCTCGGTTGGTTGAAGATGGTCCGAGCGGTTCGTCTTCAACGAACCCTCAGTTTGCTGGGTCTTACGGTTATTTTGCACCTGGTAAGGTCTTAATTAGTTACTATTATTGCATATTTTTCAAATACATAAAAGAAACAAAATGAACATCTATATATTAATTAGTTTCTTTAATATTATAATTTTTAAAAAATGATTCATACGCAGAATATGGATGCATGTTGAGGATCACAGATAAGAGTGACGTGTATAGCTATGGCGTCGTTTTGTTGGAGATAATAACGGGCAAAAAGCCTATAGACTCCTCATTCGCAGAAGGCCAACACGTGATTCAATGGGTGAGAGACCATTTAAAGAAGAAGAAGAATCCAATTTCAATACTAGATTCGAAACTTCAAGGACGACCCGACCCGATAATCCAAGAGATCTTGCAAGCATTAGGAATCTCTTTGCTTTGCACAAGTGACCGTGCTGAAGATCGACCGACAATGAAAGACGTGACGGCTCTTTTACGTGAGATCCGACAAGACCAGCTATCAACAACAGCAGATGCCGTTGACAAGCTACCACAAAAGAATAGCAACACGACAAACTTGGACACAAAGACATTGATTTTATCCTCATCTTCTATGGCGAATCATTTACCTTTTGCACTACCCGTTCAAGAGTCGTCACATTGCTCTTATGCTTCGTTGTCCTCGTTGGGTGAATATTTTTCACGCAACCAGTGATTTATAATTAGGGTTATTATTTATGCATTTGGGAAGGTAGGGTTATTATTTATGCATTTGGGAAGGAAGTTTAGGATTAAAATTAATGTGTCAAATGGGATAATTAGAAAGGGTAATGTAAAGGATTTAGATTTTATACCCCTTTTCTTTAATAATTATAATAAGAGAAAATATTACGTTACTTAAACATCATATTTTCATAAATATCCAAAGAAAATTTAAAATGTTTTTTTCTTTTCAATAATGAATACATTTTCTTTACTAAATTATATATATTAATAACGAGTTATTTAATCATTATATTTTCATAAAAGATGTGGAACGAAGGATGCAGCCCACCACGTGACGCACTGGGACCCACACAAGAAGTTCATCTTCTACAATTACATTTTTTTTAATTATATTTCCATAACTCACAAACTAAGAGAGAGTCTACTCTTTCAAACACACAAAGCTCAGCCTTTTTAAAAAGTATCTACGACACAACTCTCTTCACTAAACCACTACATTTACAGAGAAAACAACATAAATAAAAAGCACTAAAACGTTGTTTACAGAAGAAAATCCATACAAACCCCTGCACTGACTGGTTTTCACTTCAGCTGTAAAGATCATCATCATCTCCAGCAGCTACAGCGGAAGAAAATGGGTCAGCCGCTCCTGCAGTTACGTTGTCGGTTCGATCGGGGAACCGAAATTCCGATCCGATCCCACGAGATTGCTGTAGGGTCTGAGCAAACAGCTGGTACTTCCTGATGTCTGCATCGCTGACACTTCTACGAGCATACTTCATTGACTCCTCAAAATGTGCTGCCTTTATCTCTGAGACTTCGTCGATGTCGTCTTCCTCCATGGCTTCTGGGTTTTCTCTCATCTTTCTCTCCCTCTCAAGATCCTGATGATACCCATTCCGTGGTTAACATGATTCATCAAAACCACCATAGTTCTAGACAGAATTTGTTAACCTTAATTTTTTAATAAGTTCTCTCATAAAGGATGGTTCTTTCAATGGGCAAGAAACTCAAGTAAAAGATGCTCACTCAAGAGTCAAAAGTCGCTGCCCAATAGAACAAACTGTAAAAATATGTTTTTCAAAAGAACACGGTAAAGAAATACCTTTTCGATATTTTCTCTAATGGCATATTTGCAGGCACGCTGACATATTTCAGTGATATCAGCTCCACTAAAGCCATGGGTGTACCGTGAAAGAGCTGATAGATTGACATCTTTTGACACTGGCGACTTTCGGAGACATGCTTTGAAAATTTGAAGACGTGAAGATTCGTCCCGGAGCGGGATGTATATTAGTTGGTCCAGACGTCCCGGCCTGAGCAGCGCCGGGTCTATAATGTCTGGCCTGTTTGTCGCCCCAATTATAAACACGGTCTTCTTCGCAGTCATGCCATCCATTTCTGTAAGAAGTTGGTTCAAGACTCTATCTGCTGCACCACCAGCATCCCCAACAGAACTACCACGCTGCGAAAATCAAACCGATTTACGATTTTTTAAACGTATGTTTAACCTCAACAAAATCATACTTCCGACCTAAAACGAGTGATATTTGA